ATAATAAAAGATATATGGAATTTGAAGAAGATACGGCAACGTAGCTACTAACGTCGTGAAAATTCAGTCCCGTTGTTTTGGATTGTAAATATCGTAAAAATCTTGTTTTATTTGATTATTTCGCAACGTTTCAGTTCTGTTGATATCTAATTTTGAATGTGAGTTAAAATCGTCGGTGTCTGTGTCGCTTTTGCACCGAAAATCGGAATTTTGGTTCCCAAAACAATAGTGCAACTCAGGAATTTTTTTTGTCACCTCGTCAGTGAAGACAGAACCTTCTGTGTGTGCGGTGTTGCGACGTTGAAGTAATATTCTGAGGTAACAGAATTTTATGTCGTGTTTCATGTGGGCAAATACGTTGGCCCAAAGATGGGAGGAACTGAGGATGATGGCGGAGACTCTTTGTGTAAAATATGCAAACACGAAGTAAAAGACAATGAACATGGTCTTTTATGTGAAGGAAAATGCCAATCTTGGTATCACATAACTTGTCTGGGTATTACTAGTCAGCTATATAAAAAAATGTATGGAGAAATTCTGAAGATCCTTATTTGGATGTGCCCTTCTTGTAAGAAACAGCTTAAGCAATTAATGGAACTGGAGACCTGTGCTGATAAGATGAAGACTCTTTGTGACAAATTTGCAAATATTGAAGGAAAAGTTAATAGCATATCCGAAAGTATGGAGAAGTCCTTTTCAAAGCCTACATATTCACAAGTTGCAATCTGTAACAAGCAGTTTTCCGTGGCAAAACCTGTAAATCTGCCCAACTTGATAATTAAGCCAAAAAACAAGCAAGATTTGCAAAAATCCAAGCAAGATATTGAAAAAATCAAACCAGTGGACATTGGAGTTAGAATTAATACTAAAAAGGAGCTATCAAATGGAAAAATCCTTCTAAAATTTCCATCGGAATCTGACATGGAGAAGATGAGAGATACTGCTACAAAAGTTTTAGGAAAAAATTACGAAATTATTCAAACTACATTAAGGAATCCTCAGATAAGAATCCCTGGATTTGTACAGGATTGTAGTGAAAACACTGTAGAATCCATGATAAAGAAGCAAAATCCATTTATAGGTGAAGAACACTTTAAAGTCACATATATAAAATCTTTTAAAACAAAAAAATATAAGACTGTATATGCAGAGTGTTCCCCTAAGTTGTTTCACTTACTTATGGAAAGAAAGAAAATTTACATGGGATGGGAGAGATTTCCAGTATATGAAAATATAAGTATACTTAAGTGCTTTAAGTGTCAGCAGTTTAATCACAAATTTAATGACTGTCCCAACAAACCAGTCTGTTGCAATTGTGCTGGAGAACATGATACGAAAGAGTGTGTAAGCCGGAATCAAAAACCAAAGTGCAAAAATTGTGAAAGTGCAAATAAAAAATACTCAACAGGCTATGCCATCTACCACAAGGCAAATGATGAGGAATGCTCTACATACAAATATCGTCTGGACAGTGCAAGATCGAGAATCAACTATGGCTGATCCTACAATTGAGCTTCTTGAGGACTTACCAGAGTCTGTAAATACTAGCTTAAGAGTGAGTCCGGGTGTTTTGATAGATAAGCTAAATATAGTGGGAAAACTGATTAACATTTTACATATAAACATTAGAGGTTTAATCACAAACTTTAATAATTTGTTGGTATTCTTGGAAACTTACAATATTAATGATTACTGTGATATTGTGATTTTGACTGAATGTCATAAGTTAGAATCTTTTCGAAAGTTTGACATACCAGGTTATGTATCATATTACAACAGTGGTAACTATAATGCTTTTGATGGGGTTATTATCTACACAAAATTAAATTTGAATCCAATTTTTGTCAACTATAAACTACGGAATTCAGAAGTTACCATAACTAAAATTGCATTGTCTGTAAAAAATGTTACCTATACTATATTTGCTTTATATAGATCTCCATCTTCGAGTTTACATGAATTTTTGAATGACTTAAATATATTTTTTGAAACTAATGTTAGTAGTAATAGTAACATTGATATTTTTTTGGGTGATATTAATATTAATCTTCTAAGTAAGGATAATGTTGATGTAAACAGGTATCTTTCCATAATGTTCTCGCATGGGTTTGTTCCATTGTGTCAGGGGGTTACGAGGGAAGTGAGTGAAACCTGTCTCGACCATCTTTTCGTGCGCGACAAAATCAAAGCAGCCTCCAGAAAAATAGATAGCTATATTATAGAACATGACATAACTGACCATCTACCCCTCATGCTTCATGTTTCAGATGACTTCGCTGTAAACTCTACAGAATCTAACTGCCGAAATGTCTTTAAATGTATTGATATGAATAAATTGAAGCACTTAGCATCTGAGGTAGACTGGAACTACAGTTTGGTTTTTGATCAAGCAGAGGAAGCAACCAATTACCTTTTTAAAAAATTAAGTAATATTATAGAAAAGTCAGAATTTGTTAAAAATACCCTGAATAATTATAAAAAGCTTAAACCGTGGATTACAAATGCAATAATTAAATCTATGAAAAACCGAGATAAGCTGAAAAGAGCCCTTAAGCTAAACCCGTCTCCAGCAGAGATATCGGAATACAAAGAATATAGAAACCGTCTTAATAAAATAATAAGATTTACAAAAAATGAGTACTATAAAAGTAAATTTAATCAAAGCTCGCATGATATCAAAAAAGTTTATAAATTAGTTAAAGAGGTAACAAATGAAAGCCAAACAGAATGTCATATAACTTACCTAAAGGATGAAAAAAATGACATGATTATTGATAAAAAGCAAATTGCTGATTTTGCAAATAACTTTTTTATAAATATTGGCAGAGAAATGTCAGATAAAATTGGGAACCCTCCCACACCTTTTCAATTTATAAATAGCCCTTCCTATTCAATGTATTTAAAACCGACCAACAGGAATGAAATTATTGAACATATAATGAGTCTAAAAAATAGTTGCTCTCCAGGATTAGATAAATTAACGACTAAAATAATCAAACAACTACATGTATATCTCTTGGATCCCTTAGTTCATATAATCAATCTGATTTTCAAAACGGGCAAAGTACCTAAACAATTTAAAATATCGGTTGTATCACCTATTCACAAAGCAGGAGATAAAGAATATATAAGTAATTATAGACCAATAAGTATAATCTCAAATTTAGCAAAGATATTTGAAAAATGCCTTAAGGTTAGATTGGTTGCATTCTTGGACTCAAATAAGTTGTTATCTGAGAATCAGTTTGGTTTTAGGCAAGGTTTAAGCACATCACATGCGGTTTATGAATTAGCGTCTAAAATAATGTATCATTTAAATAACGGTGATAAGTGCATCGCTTTGTTTTTGGATTTAGCAAAGGCATTTGACACGGTATCTCATCCTATGCTCCTCCAAGCACTGGAGGGACATGGAGTTAGGGGTGCTGTGTTAAGTGTATTCAATTCTTTTTAATATATATGTAAATTACCTCTGCAGTCTTGCAGTTGATGGCGATGTAATTGCCTATGCTGATGACACTGTGGTGGTGTTTCATGGAGAGACATGGGAATCAACGGGTGAAAAATTGAAGACTGATTTTGCAAAAATTAAAAACCTTCTGGACACATTTAAATTAACTCTGAATATAAAAAAAACTCATTACATTGCCTTCTCTATAACCATGGCTAATAGACCAGCATTTAATCAAATTAAACTTGATAATATTGATGAGCCTTTGAAAGAAGTAAATGAAATTAAATATTTGGGGGTTGTTGTTGATAAGCACTTGAAGTGGGACCGACATGTGCTGTATTTGAGCAAAAAAATTAGATTTTTCATTCATAAATTCTACGCTCTTCGTAATATACTGAACATTAAACTACTATTAATGATTTACAAAGCACTTGTGGTCCCACTATTGGTATATGGCATAATTGTGTGGGGTGGGATGTACGGTTCAAATCTTGGGCAGCTAAAAGTGGTGCAGAACCATATTGTAAGGATCATTCTAAAAAAACCTAGATTATATCCCACTATGCAACTTTATTCACAAGAAATAAACAATATTAAAATCTTATATATCCTTGCAGTATGTAGTTTTGTACATGCAAGTAAGAAATTAAATACAAATTATGTGTCCCACAATTATATGACCCGAGCAAACACCACTCATAACCTGAAAGTCCCGCAGTCCAGGCGAGATTTAAATTTGCGTTTTGTGACATATCTTGCACCTAAATTTTACAATTTGATTCCTGCTAATATCAGGAATATTGGAAATAATAAAAAATTTAATATTTCGTTTAATATGTTCTGTTGGGAAAATCGTGAACAATTTATGCGTCTATTTTAAGTTGCTTTGAGGTAGATTGATCTGCCTATTTGTTCCATCTCTTTCTTTTTGATATTATTGTGACACTTTTTTTTCTGTGATCTTAAGTTAAATCTATTACTTACAAAAATATGAAATTTTCTTTCATTTTGTGTATATCGTGTATCATGTTTTGTTTGTATAGTTGAGTGATTTTATACAAAAAAATATATATTGCACGATATTTATCAATTAATTACTGTTTTGGTCTGTTTTTGCGCATACAAGTTTTTAAACTTAGGCGCTCATATATTATAGAGAAACCTTGTTTTTGTTTCGTTAATTTACAGATATATATTATTTTTATATTGGTAAATTTTTGGTTCTGCTGAATAAATGTGGTAGAGTTCAGGGCGTACTGTTCTCTCCAACAACTCAACTCAACTCAATTTCGTTAAAATATCTAAAGTGGTATTACATAAATATTTTAATGATAAATGATTGACCCTGTATTCCAAAAGTTAAGACGTCCGTATGAATATTTCTTCTTAAAATGGACTCAAAAATAGTAATCTTGAATAATGATATTCAATTAGGAAAAACCCTGTATATCAACAATGAAATTAGGCGGTTGAAGTTAACGATTATTAAGGCGGCTACAGACATGTGAAACGTGGCAAATGCCAAATATTTGGTTATTTGCGAACTGTTTGTCCAAATATTTGCAAAGTACCAAGCATACATCTACATACATGTGTTGATTTGCAAAGTTGCAAGCAAAATTCGGAAACGTCAAATTTTGTTGTTTGCTGTTTGTTTGCAAATATGGATATAGAAACCGCAGCTGCAGCTTTTCTTGTTATAAGTAGTGCCTATTTGTTACTAAAGAAGAAAAAGAAAAGAAAGCCAAGAAAATGGTGGACGGTGTCACTTATCAGAAGCAGAGAAAGGTAAGTTTGCAGACTGAAAATTAAGAAATAGTTTAATAATGTAATCTTTAATTGTAGTTACAGTGGCAGCAATTTGTTGGCAGATCTGTTAAAAGAACCTTCTGGTTTCTTTGAAAACTTTTTTAGGATGTCTTCTGACGATTTTGAAATTTTACTTAATATGGTAGAGTCGTATATTGTAAAGAAAAACACAAAATGGAGAAAAGCCATTCCAGCGAATGAACGTCTGGCCATAACATTGCAATTTCTAGTCACCGGTGACAGCTTTAAGAGCCTTTGCTATCTTTTCAAAGTTTCATCCCAGTTGATATCAAGCATTGTTCCTGAAGTTTGCAAGGTAATAATAAAAGTATTGGGAGATACAATAAAGGTAAGAGGTACAATTTGTAAAATAATATATATTGAACGTAATTTATAGGAACATAACAAAGCTCTCTGGACAAATTGGAGCATATAATAGAAATAATGCCAATCTTAAAACTAAAAGATAGAAATATTTCACTGAAAAGTTGTTAAAAAAGTTGCGATTGTTATATCTTCGTTGGACTGTAATGAATTAACATCGTCAGTTACAGTGTTGATAGAACGTATCTCTGGTTCCGAGTGATAGGAACGGGAAACATCTGAGACTGGTGAAGATGAAATCTGTGAAAGGGATGGAGGGTATGGTTGTGAACATCTGACATCTGTCGGTTGTGGAACGACGTGTGTTTGAGGAGCAGGCGGATATAGAACAAGGCGTGCTTAATTTTTCTTTACCCGTAAGCATGCATCATATACGTCGTTCCTATTTTTATGTTGAATATGGGAAGCATTCCATATTGCAGGTTCCTCTTCGTACAATTCTAAAAACTCCTAGTACAAGTTCGTGTGTCCACTCCATCTCGAACACGGGCACACTTGCTTAGCACTGCGATATCAATATTTAAATACGGAGCATGTGTGTATCTGAAACAACTACGCACAATTTCAAATATTTGTCTCCTTTGATTTGTACTTATTTACCGACAATTGATGGGAAACATTTGATGCATGACAAATAACAAATATTTGTGTATTTCCATATAGTGTGTGTCTGAGATATTTGCCAAATATCAAACATTTGCTGTTTGAAAGTTGACAAACTTCACATATCTGTAGCCACCTTTATGCAAGGCAACAAGGCAAAACCAATTGTCATCTCATCTGTCACTCCCAAGTCTCAGACGTGTCAAGGCAGATATGACTTCCTCGTCATAATAAGTGAATAACGATGTCTATTCTGTTCCATATAGCTGAAAGCGCTCAATCAAGTATATGGGATTTATTTTGGCCCATCTCTCCATATATTTGTTGGCTCCACGAGCATCTATAAACGCAGCGAACGCTTTTTTGCAGTCAAATAGAGCCTAAACTCATGTTTACGATTTACAGAAAAGTACTGAGTCAGTCTACTTGACGCCGTAACGCGATTAAGTCTTAATACTAGGTCATTACTTTTAATTGGGAGGCACAGATTCTACTAAAATTTCCAATGAGGCACCATATCAAAGGCGACATCTTAGATTGCTTACATAACTCCTACTATAAACATCCAATCCCAAAAAAACGGTGGAAGTACATAAAATCTGTTCATCCGGAATAATCCAAAATTTATCACACTGTTTTACATAATGTTCTTATTTGCATATTTCATGGGTTTTTGAAGTGGTAGGCCGAAGTGGCCACGCAAGAGATTCTGCCGTGACCTCTGCCAATACCAAGAACGGGTTTCTCCTCACCTTTTGATGTTAAGTTCATGTTTCTCGGAACTCGCTGGTCGGGCGTTTTGAAGTTTCTTTGACATGCTGAAAATGATGCAGTAAAACTTGTTTCCAGGAGTGTGACTAAGTAGATGATTGCTGGTTTTTGGCTAATCTGCTTTCCACAAGAATAGCAAAAAAATCGAATTTATTAGAAACTCTAAATAATTTATTCTCCTGGCACTTCATACTTATACATACAATCTCCTACAAAAAGAAAGAAGTTGGTCTTGCCAGTTAGCATGAAAGCCGGCCCAAGGTTATAAACAGACCAAAAAGTCAATTCCACGTAAATAGGCTACTTTTGACAGTTTGATGTCCAGCCACACTAGCGCTACCTAGCGGGTGCTACATTGGACAACGTTTCCATCCTCATGCTTTTTATTTTACACTATAATGTTTTTAGGAAAATCTTTAACTTTTCAAAAGATGAATTACATCACATCTTCTAACATCGGCATTTTTCTAACCACACTAGTCTATTATTCCTATTTTCCTATCTCATCGACCAGACATTTTGAGGTTCTTTTGACACATGACCACAACTGATTTACACAGAAAGACCATTCAAAAACGTTTAGGATTATCTTTTTATCCTTAATGGATCTCTTTGCATGTGCTAATGACACTAATTCTAAATCTTCGCGCTAAGCTGTTTATAATTTATGCATGTCCTTCGCATGACAAAAGGTCTGTCAACTTTATGATGACTTTTATGTAGCAGTAAAGTGGCATTACATAATTTGTCATCTCAACATTTTAAAGCACAATTTACAAAAACATTTGACGAAGAAGACTTTAAATACATAAAGATTTTCCATGATATTAAATTGTGTATAAGAAAGAATACTTTATTTATGGTAAGACATTTGCTTTTCCTTCAATGAATAATGAATTCTTAAACGACAAAACAAATTACGGATAGTTTCATCCAGTTGCAAAAGGCAGTTATATTCAAAGTGGCAGATATGTTACATCAAATTTCAGTCAGCAATTCTGCCTCTGTCGGTTTTAGTCAGTATTTAAATTAGTGCAATCCTTATCTGTACATTTACGGATTCGATATATCGTTTAGCTTCCAGAGAATCCGTGGTACCATTCAATGTCTACAAATTAACCATTTAATATCATTGACCTTCTTCCATCTGAACCATTATAAACATTTAAGGTGTCACTTATACGAGGGTGGTCCCAGAAGTACCCGACCCAACGAAGAAAACACATTTTTTGTAAAAAAATGTATTTATTTTTTAACATAATCTCCTTTGAACTTTATACACTTTTCCCAGCGATGTTCAATAAGTTCGATACCCTTTTTATAATAACAACTGTCTTGCTCGTCAAAATAGCCATTTACTGCCGACATCACTTCTTCTTCTTTAACCACTGAGCCATTTTTTCAAGTTTGGAAACAGAAAATAATCCGAGGGGGCTACATCTGGTGAATAGGGTGCATGAGGTAGCAATTCAAACTTTAATTCGTTAATTTTGGCCATTGCAATAACGGATTTGTGAGCTGGTGCATTGTCTTGATGAAACAACATTTTCTTCTCAACCAAATGCGGGCGTTTTTGCTTGATTTCATCGCTCAAACGTTGCAATAAGTTCGCATAATACTCACTGTTGATAGTTTTACCTTTTTCAAGATAGTCAATGAAAATTATCCCACGCGCATCCAAAAAACCGACGCCATAACCTTGCCTGCAGATGAAACGGTATTCGCCTTCTTTGGAGCCAGTTGTCCCTTTTGAGTCCATTGTTTTGGTTGTTCTTTCGTCTCGGGTGTGAAATGATGGACCCATGTTTCATCCATGGTTATGAAGCAACGCAAAAATTCTGCTTTGATGCTGTGAAACTTCGCTAAACACTCAGTTGAAAGATCTTCACGACACTGTTTTTGCTCGATTGTGAGCAATCGTGGCACCCATCTTGCAGACAGATTTCTCATGTCAAAATTTTCAGATAATATGCGATGAACCGCACTTTTTGAAATGCCTACTATGTCTGCTAGCTCGCGCACTTTCAGTTGACGATCATTCAGTACCGCTTTGTGAATTTTCTTCACCATTTCTGGAGTCGTCACCTCATTTGGTCGACCACAGCGATGCTCGTCTTGGCAGCTCATACGGCCTCGTTTAAACTCTGCTACCCAATATTTTACTGTTGTAAACGATGGAGCAGACTCACCCAGAGTAGAATCCAGTTCAGCTTTTATATTGATTGGGCTGAGACCTTTGAAATGAAAGTATTGTACCACATAACGATGACCAATTCTCTCCATTTTCACAAATTCACTGAAAACGTTCAGTATTGATGGCTGCCAAACAAATACTAAACAACGTGGCGTCATCAAACTTGACACATGCTTTATAGGTTGCATACTTTCTAATACAATGATATTTTTAAAACAGCTATCGCCATCTCTAGTTCAGGCCGGGTACTTCTGGGACCACCTCGTAATTTCTTTGGGAATGTAGCTTGGTCAGTCATCGACTAACTGTTTCTTCATTGAGAAATCACGATTATTGAGGAGTTGCATTTCTCTCCCCAGGTACATAACGAAAACAAAAAGACTACTGGGTACACAATACGTATACTATCGTTGAAAATGATGTGCTGTCAATAGATACCTCTATCCTCAACATCTTTGCAACCTTGCTAACATTCAAGAAAACCCTGGAAGTGATAGTAAAGGAAATCTTGCTTCATAGAATTGACTGTCTGCTGCATAACGCACAGCTCATTGTAACCGTAGGATGTCGAAACGAGTTAGTTAAAAGCCCAACTGATCGTTATTCCTTTGTACGGGCTAATTGCAGCATTTAAATTTTCAACAATGCGGTTCCTAATGCCGATCCAAATAAGAGCAAAGTGAAAGTAACGCTAACAATTGTTCGGTGAACTGTCGATGCTGAGACATACCATCCATATTCAACAGTACTCGAAATGTGAAAAATGTTAGGATTCGTTTCTTTTGAGTCGTATTTATGATCTGTATCCTGAGATTAATATTCTGTATACAGGGTGTTTGGTACATGAATCAACAACATTTTTTGGGCGATTAACGATACCATTTGATGATTTTTGAAGGAAAGTTGAATGTTACGGTTACCTACAATTGCGCATAAATATCGTTATAACTTTTTTGTTTCTAGAGATGTGTAGCATATAGTTGGAAAAGCAATAAATCACAGAAGTTTGTAAGTAGTAAGTAAGTTTAGGCAGCAGCGGTAGCCGCAGTAGTAGACTCTTCGGTCTCCTGATCAGTCGCCGTGCGCTGTGCGGGTTCGAGTCCCGTCCCAGGAGAAATTTTTCTCTTGGCTATGGATGTTGTGATTGTCTGTAAGTGGTAGATGGTCTCTGACTGTCGAACGCGGAGGTACCACCCGGCGGTTCTCGTAAGCGGAGCCAGAATGTGTGCATGTTGCATGCACACGTGTTCCCTCGCCAGAGTCCGTGTGGCGTCCCCCCCTTCAAATGTATCCCCCTATAGCCCCACGGTACCCAATGGGTGCTTAGGCCTCAGGCCTTCGTGGTAGTTGGAGTATAAAAAAAA